GCGGAGGCGGCGCTTGCGGCGCCGGCGCTCGGCCGCGGCCTCCTCCGCGGAGGAGAAGGCGAAGTGGCGGGCGGGAGGGAGCAGCGGGGAGGGCTGGGGGTGCGGGGCGAGGTGGGAGTGGGAGATGGAGATGGAGAGGCGGCGGAGGAGGAGGAGACGGCGGTAGGGCGCCGCCATGGTCACTTCCGGCGGCGGCTCGGGGAGGGGAGGGGGAGAGGAGGAGCGGGGTAGGATTTGTGTGTCAACAGAGAACCAAATGGGCTCAGTTTTGCTTGGTTGGTTTTGGCCCCTCTCCTTTTCTCTCTTGGGCTTTTGTTTCACTCTCAACTCAAATGCTCCAAACCCAACCTTTTTTTTTCTCCCCACCCTTTCTATTTCTTTTGTTTTTCTTTCTTCATCACCATGAATGCTAAAGAGGTCCTGATGTATTTTAGCGAGCTTTTTGTGCCCGACATATGCGGAGTCATGAAGATGCGACTTTTATGTCTCTGTTTCTCCGGCGCATTTCGGACAAATAGATTTCGTCTCGTCTATGGGACGAGTGCTTCGTGAGCCCTCAACAGAATATCGACTATGTTGGTTGCAAACGAAGGATCCTTCCTCAAGAGTATACCCTCATAACTATAGCAAGAAAGAACCATATGTATGACAAGGACCATTTTTTCGTCCGTTCATTTTCAACTCTCCTCGTTCAAAAAATAATGTACCCCCTACAGGTTTTGAGTCAGATGACAGATCGATTGATGAACTCGGTTTGGTGGGTAACGATCGGGATGTTCCTGATCAGAGATCAATGTTCCGGACCACGGACCGATTGATGATCTCAGGCAGGAGCATCCCGGTTGTTAGTCACATTTTAGCGGGTGAAGCATCAACCTATTAAACTTTATTATGCCCCATTTGTACATTAGAGTTTACAGTTAATACACTGGATTATGAAAAGAACATAGTTTGGTATACTTTGGGTTGTCTCGATCCGACAAAATATTGTAGTTTCAAAAATTGTGATATGTTCAGTACCATACTAACTTCAGATTATTGAAAGCAACGTAGTTTTATATACTTTAGATTGAACTTGCAACTTATGAGTGTTTTAAGAACTGAGATTTGGCCAACATGCACATCCCAACTTCCTATGAGATTCATGGCCAACATGATTGGTAAAAAATAGAAAAATTGTGGGAAGATGATTAATGAGATAGTTAGTGGAAAATAGGCATAGAAACATGAGCTAAAATATATAACCCTACTTCAGCAAACTAGATTAAGCTTTAAATAGGTGAAACATGGTTGAACATTTCATATTGCTCTTGTTCATCAATAGAGGTTGAAAATGGCATGCTTGTTACTCAACAGAAACACTAACTAAACCAAAATGAAGAACAGGATGCAATAAAAATTAGTATTGTCGTACCAAAACAAACTTCATGGCCCAATACCCTAAGCATGCGAATATGTTTATTGTTGCTTAGAATAGGCATAGTACAATAGATAATGGCACCTAATAGAAGTATTATAACTTATTCCACGATATAGCATTTAAATGGAAGCACTAACTGGCATCTAAAAAAGTCATTCAGTCCATGCATCAATATCATCAACATTCCAACAAGAAGAATTTGGCTGTGCGTTGATCAACTCATCATATTCCATGTTATATGGGCCTACAACATTGCCATTATAGCCCAAGTAAGCATCCATCTCTAGGTCCCCCTTGTAGTGTGACTGGTTCGAAGGAGCATATGCCGAGTTATAATAGCCAAACAATTCACGAACGAGGAAGTCATTGCCACTGGAGAACAACAATTGAGTTGGGGCCTCCACAGTATTCCCGGTGGTTGAGTTAGGGATTGGCACCAAAGGTGGAGGTGTATACTGGAACATTTGTGATACCTTCATAGGAAAATGTAATTCTATAGTGTCTTGTTGTGTTGATGAAAAGGCAGTTGAATTGATGGCAACACTTGAGGAGGAATACAATGAGATGATGATGGTTGTTGTGATGAAATAAGAGTATATGAGCGACCCCAAGATCGGCATCTTGGCGCCAATCAATTTTGTGGCAAGCTTGGACCACCAGTCTATGGTTCACTGCAAGAATGTAGTGGAGGCAAACGATGTCTAGTATCCTCCTAGACCCACAAGAGTTCATTGATGAGCTTATTGCGACCTTCAAGACTTATATCTTCTTCCTTTGAGAAGATATAATTTGATATCATGCCTGGGTTTTCATCTAGGATCTGTTTAATATGTTGTAGGGAGAACTTCGCTCTCTTATGGTCCATTGCATTATCTATGTACAACCAAGCCACCTTCGTCTTCTGCAAACAATAATTGCATTCGTCATCTCGTTGACAAATGGCCCAATAGGCAGACCTCCCGATAAGAAATCATCAAGAATGGGTTCTGCTGATGGCATCCCAAATGAGTGCACATTTCTGAAGTCCTTCTTTAGGACCACAGCAACCCTCATGCCTGTGAGGGCCGAGAGGTCACAGGCACTCTTAAAAAAGTCATCACGTCGCTTGGAGAAGGTGGTACTGCGATCTATGTCATTGTCGTTGACATAGACACCTGAACACTTATCCCTCCTCCGCATACTTAGATGGACAATTGGAAGACTTGTTAATACAAATGATAAGCTAAAATGGTCTAGCGAAAGGTTGATATTTTTTGGTGTTGTTGGCTATCTATGCGTTACTGGATGATATGAGGAGATACACTCCCCTTATATAGAAGGGAAGGGTTGTAAAAATAAATTTTTATTTCACCCCTTATCCCATTATTTGTATTAGTTAAGATTTAAAATTACACACTTTTGGTATATGAGTCAACTAAAAACTTTCTAGTATTTAATGAGTACTAACGTATGTAGACTTGCTAAATTATGGTCACCATTATTTTTTGGTAAAATATATCATCTGTGAGTATATCCTAATTTTGAACCGTTCTTGCGCTTTTCCGTGAGTGTGTTCACATCCAGTAGAACTTTTCTTAATTGCAAAACCAATGGTTATCCATTTCTTGTTGGTTATGAACTTTGCACCAAAATTATTTTGTATACTTTTATTATCACATTTTATGTACTAATCTTCTATTGTGAGCAATAAACTTATTTTATGTTGACTAAAACCTACAGACTCCTTAAGATTTTCCAAATAAGGAGCAATATAATAATAAAGACTAGAGTATACCTCCTAGCTCCTCTAAATTTACAATTCCATTTCAAATAATATGCCACTCCTAATAAACATATGCCACTCTTCTCGTGATGCCAAACATAAAATATCTGAAGCCATTAGAATTTAGGGCAATTTACATACTATGACAAACTTCTACTGCACAATAAAAATGCATGACCTTGCTAATTCTCTGTGTGTATGACTTCCTAACATCGGCTTGATGGGATGCAAGAATCATTCCAATGTAGATGTTATATCCATTTCAAAATCTCCATATATCTCTTCTCTTGAAGGTATGAATGCATGCAATGATACTTAGCCAAGTTCATGTTGATAACTTCTTTCCTTAAAAATATCGCTTGGTGGCTAGTATTTCTTCCTAGGACCCAAGCACAAATTGAATTTGATTTATGTGCAGATGCCAACATTTCCTTGTTGCCAATGCCAAGCCACTTTCCATGTCAAAATACTGAAAAATATTGAAACTCATACCTCTTACTTTCTAGCACGATTCAAGCAATCTTAACACAATTCAAGCAAGCATGCAAAGAGTATATGAGCAGCGGAAAGTAAATCATGCAACTTGCAAGAATGTAAAGGGAGGGGTTTGGAGAGTGCAAACGCAATAGGAGACACAGATGTTTTTGTCGTGGTTCCGATAGGTGGTGCTATCGTACATCCACGTTAATGGAGGCTTCAACCCACGAAGGGTAACGGTTGTGCGAGTCCACGGAGGGCTCCACCATGAAGGGTCCACAAAGAAGCAACCTTGTCTATCCCACCATGGTCGTCACCCACGAAGGACTTGCCTCACTAGGGTAGATCTTCACGAAGTAGGCGATCTCCTTGCCCTTACAGACTCCTTGGTTCAACTCCACAATCTTGTCGGAGGCTCCCAAGTGACACCTAGCCAATCTAGGAGACACCACTCTCCAAGAAGTAACAAATGGTGTGTTGATGATGAAATCCTTGCTCTTGTGCTTCAAATGATAGTCTCCCCAACACTCAACTCTCTCTCACAGGATTTGGATTTGGTGGAAAGAGGATTTGAGTGGAAAGCAACTTGGGGAGGGCTAGAGATCAAGATTCATATGGGAGGAATGGAATATCTTGGACTCAACACAAGTGTAGGTGGTTCTCTCTCAGAAAATGTATGCTGGAAGTGTAGGCACGTTATGATGGCTCTCTCCACGAATGAAGAGTGGGTGGAGGGGTATATATAGCCTCCACACAAAATCTAGCCATTACACACAACTTACCAATCTCGGTGTGACCGAATTGTTAAACTCGGTCGGACCGATTTAGCAAATCATGTGACCGTTAGGATTTTCAGTGGGACCGACATGCAACTCGGTAGGATCGATATGATTAGGGTTAGGGCATAACGTAATCTCGGTGGGACCGATTACACAAACTCGGTGAGACCGATTTTCGTAATGGACACACAGAGGGTTGGTCAGGCAAACTCGGTGGGACCGATTCGCTCATCTCGGTAAGACCGAAACATTACGAAAGGGAAACAGAGAGTTTGCATTGTAATCTCGGTGGGACCGATCGCTCATCTCGGTTTGACCAAAACGTTATGAAGGGAAACAGAGAGATTACAACCCCATCTCGGTGAGACCGAGATCCCTATCGGTGAGACCGATTTGCCCAGGGTTTGTGGCAGTGGCTATGATATCTGAACTCGGTGGCGCCGGATAGGAAGAATCGGTGGGGCCGAGTTTGACTTTTGGTTTAGGTTATATGTGGATATGATAAATTAGTTGAGGGCTTTGGAGCATATCACTAAGCATTTTGAGCAAGAAAGCCATTAAGCAACACATCATCCCTCCTTGATAGTATTGGCTTTTCCTATAGACTCAATGTGATCTTGGATCACTAAAATAGAAAATGTAGAGTCTTGTGCTTTGAGCTTGAGCCAATCCTTTTGTCCTTAGCATTTTGAGGGATCCACTTTTCTCATCCATGTCATGCCAATCATTGAGCTTCCCT